CCCAGCTGTGCTGTGTATGTTGAGTGGCCTTTTGGGGGAGATGGGGCCACCATTTCAAGAGGATTCTGTATCCATCATGGCCATGAAGTCGTCCCTAGGTAGAAACTAAGATTTGTTCCACCATCTGGAGAGCAAATTGAATGCTCCCCAATGGGGAGTAACCATGTCATTGGTATTGGCATACTGGAAACAAGCAAGTTATCTGTCCTAGATAAGATGCCATGGTTGATTGCATAAATCGTCACTAAAGCTGGTATATAACTACAGATTTGGATTTTTGAAATCAACATTACACAGAAAATGTGATCTTTTAAAATAACTTCCTTTCCCTTAGCCCTGTGTTTCAAAAGTTACCACTTTATTTTCTTTTAAATTGCTCTATCATTTTCACTCACGAGTGCATAGTAATTATGAGAATCAATCTGTTCTTTTTGAAAACCGCTTTTCTACTGTTCGGGTAATTTCCCTTCTCGGTACTACTGCAAAAAGCAGGTTAACTCACCCCGTTTTCTTAGCTACATCACAATTAAAGAATAAAATATCTATACTTGTAATGTACACAGTTTTAAACCCTCAAGATCTCATTTTAAGTGCTATCAAAATCTTTGCAACTTTTCCTATTATGTGCATATAAAATTATGTATGTTTTCCAAAACTAGAACATTTCATCTGTTAACTTTCTTACATTCAAAAGCAACTTCTGTTGCTAAGCATTTGAAGATGAAAAGACACTTCTGAAGACAAGCATTACAGAAAAAATGTGATTTAATTCACTGAGCTTGAGTGGTAAAAGACAAAAGTTGATGAGAAAGAAATTAAATGACATTTTAAGTAACAAATGGAGACACTGACATCTAAGGAATAGAAAAAATTTTCCTAATTTTGAAAAGAAATAAGGTATTGAAACAGGCTTCTACTCAACATAGATAACTATTACATAGCTACAAAAATTGGCTAATGTAAGAAACACAAAAAGACCTAGATACTAGAAATGCAAATTATTTTAATTCACATGTTAACTTATTATTTGTGTGTACCAATGAGTGTGCATCTATTTGGAAGTCATTATTATATTAGCAATCACTAATGTCAATATTGAAAGTATGATTACACCACAGCCTGAAGATTTTAGTTTGGGAAAACATCAGACCCATTCTATATATCCATTCCAGATAAGTACAAAATTAATTAATAGAGCCAGCATGCAAAAGATGGGTGCTTGGGAATTAAGGTGAGAATCAGAAAGTATAAGAAGTATATTGCTAACATTATGCAACTATATTGGACAACTTTAAACAGTAGCCATATCTTATCTGCAGAGGTCCCATTCCAGGAATACCTGAGACTTAGGATAAAGTTTAACTTAGGAATTAGACATGGGAAGAGACTAGCAACTCTAATAATAAATATGAGCATTTATCATGCCTTATGGTAAAATTTGTTGTAAGCTTTTGCAATTTTATCCATAGATTTTCTGCTTAATATTTTTAAATCACAGGTAACTGAGGTCACAGATAAAAAACTGTGAATAAGGGAATCATAGTACTAATTCATATCCCAGTACTAATTCACAGTACTGTGTCATCTTGTTTACAATTTCTTCTTGTCAACTGACCAGTGGTAATGAGTTCTCCCAACATAGATAATTTCATAGATAAGGAAACTGAAATTTAAGGAGCACTTCCAATGTCATCTGTGGTACAAAGGGACCTAGTGGTACTAGAACATCCTACTCACTTAAAAACCACCTGACTCCACTGGTTCTACTGCATTGGCAAACTTCTAAGCATTCTTTCCCTTTTTCCCATGTACAAGCATTGGAAATAATACCTTCATTCTTTGGCTATGTCTTTGGTAACACAGTTGGACAAGGGCTCCATGAAATCAGACATAAAATCCAATGGGGGAATATGTCTCTGCTAAATAAGACCAACTTTATGTTCAGATGAATTACATTGGTAAAATTTTGCTTACTTGTAAGTTCATCTTCAACAATTGGTGCAAGCATAACTGGATGCTGACATGTAGAAGATTGCAAATAGATCCATATCTTTCACCATGCACAAAACTTAAGTCCAGATGGATCAAAGACCTCAATAAATACAGTACAGCCACACTGAACCTCTTAGAAGAGAAAGTGGGAAGTACACTTGAATGAATTGGTACAGGAGACCACTTTCTGAACATAACACTAGTAGCACAGACACTGAGATCAACAATTAATAAATGGGGCCTCCTGAAACTGAGAAGCTTCTATAAGGTAAAGGACACAGTCACAAGAAAAAATGGCAGCCCACAGAATGGGATAAGCTCTTCACCAACCCCACATCTGACTAAAGGCTGATTTATAAAATATACAAAGAACTCAAGAAGCTAGTCATCCACTCCCCCCATCCCACCCTCAATTCACTCCCCAATGAGGGTGAAGCCTCCCATGAAGGATCATCAAAGTCTGATACATCATTGGAGAAGGGCCTAGGCCCTCCCCCGTGTACCTAGGATAAGAGAGTATCCTGCCATAGGGAATGGGATCCCAAAGCCCATTCATAACTAGGGAAAAATACTGGTTCTGCTGCCAGAGGCCCCATAGACTTCCCAGGCCTCCCAACTGACACCCACATTCAGGGGTGTGGATTTCCCAGCATGGCCTTGACCCCTTTGCTCATCACTCCTTCCTCTTTACAACTGGATTTCAGGAGCTTGGTTCAGTGCTTGACTGTGAATCTCTTCTTCTGCTTTCATCAGCTACTGGATGAAGGCTCTAGGATGGCATTTAAGGTAGTTATTAATATCATTATAGGGGAAAGGCATTTAAGGTAGCCTCTCCACTATTGCTTAGATTCTTAGTTGAAGTCATCCTTATGGATCCCTCTGGACATTTACCTAGTGCCAGATTTCTCTTTAAACCTATAATGGCTCCCCCTATTAAGATATCTCTTTTCTTGCTCTCATTCTCTATTCTTCCCCCAATACTATCTTCTTGGTCTCTCAAGTTCTCCTATCCCCTCCCTCCCCTTCCTTCCACCTCCATCCTCCCTCCTCCCATGCTCCCAATTTGCTCAGCAGATCTTGTCCCTTTTATCTTCTCTGGGGGACCCTGTATGTCTCTCTCCTCATTTCTCGGCTTCCCTGGGGTTGTGGATTGTAGGCTGACTATCCTTTGCTCTATGTCTAATATCCATTTATGAGTGTATACATACCATGCTTGTCTTTCTGTGTCTGGGTTGCCTTACTTAGGATGGTTTCTTCAAGTTCCATCCATTGGCCTGAGAATTTTAAGACTTGTTTTTTATGCTGAGTAGTACTCCATTGTGTAATTGTACCATATTTTCTTCATCCATTGAGGGGCATCTAGGTTGCTTCCAGGTTCTTGCTATTACAAATAATGCTGCTATTAACATAGTTGAACAGATGTCCTCATGGTATGAATACTCACCCTTTGGGAATATGCCTAAGAATGGAATTGCTGGATCTTGAGGTTGACTGACTCCCGGTTTATTGTATAGATAGTGGGGATCAAACTCAGATCCTCACATATGCAGAAAAAGCAGTATACTGACTGAGTCACTTCCCAATGCCAAACAAAACATTTCTGAATGATATGTAAGTCTGTATTGTTAGCTTTGGCAGGACCGTTATTAAGCAAAAAAATTCACATGTTCTAGAAAACTGGGATTATCTCAGTGTATGTCTTTTTCTCTAGAGCATATAGGTTGAATGAAAGAATAAATTCACAAATTATATAAAACAAAACGTTATAAACTACATTGTAATTGGTTTAAGGAGTCAAAGAGATGGTCGATGAAATTAAAGTTTCAGAAAAACAATGAATAATCTTCAATGTATTTCTCAATCACTGAGTGAAATAGTCTTACAATAAAAATTAGTTATTACAATCTGAAATTTTTATTTCACTGGATAGTGTGTATTTTTATTTGCTAAATCTGGTGACTCCAATATACTTACCATAACACATTAGGGTTTGCACATTTATTCAGTTAATTTTTTATTGATAAGTGAAGGGGCCTCATTAGCATAGTAGGTATTAGGTCAGTCTCATATTTATTGATAAGTGGTTATAGGACACTAAATACTAAATGATGTATTGAATATTACCATGTACAAGTAATAGTTTTATGCTCCAGGGACTCAGCAATAAATAACATTGGCAGATTCTTACTTCCTTAAGTCTTTATTTCAGTGGTAGTTTATAGCAGATGAAAACTAAATAACTTAATTGCTAACTTTGCTAGCATAATGTTAATTCTCAAAGTAATTTTGATTAATAAGTGCTATTAAAAATCAAGCTAGATGACAAGGTTGAGGATGGATCAAAGGTCACCGTGGCTGGATGGTACAGGGCAGTCCCATTAATGGAGGAGAAATGTCCTTCCTGGTAAGAATCAAGGGAAAGACATGAAAGGAAAAGGAGCCAAAGATGCAAAGGACCTTGGGCAGGAGTAAATTTGACTCTCATAGAACAAGCATCAAGAATAATCTGGGCGTGGTCAGCAGCAAATTGAGGAGTGACAGAAGTTGGCACTGGAAGAGTCAGACTCTGAAACAAAGGCCAGATATTGAAGAAATTTCCATTCCATGGTGTAGCTCTTGAATCTTGTTCATGTTAGACATTTGAAATTTGGTTCAGATGAGAATGGCAATTAACAGGATGCTTAAGGTGGAGAATGAAGTGGGTTAGAACATTTCCAGAAATCTCCTTGTGATGTTAGTGGTGGAAGAGTGGATGGGAGGATTGGTAAGTGAAGTGAAAGGTGAACGAATAGGCTAAGGTGACAAGGGAGAGGGGCCTGGCAAGGTAGATAACTAGGAGGCATACTGTGAATGTCAAACCCACAGCACTTTATGAATGCATTGTAGTCTGCCCCACCGAAGAGCCATGGCAGAAGGGAAAAATTCCACCAGTTTCAAACTTCAAGATGTACTAATTCTATTTGTCCTATTTACAAAAATAGACTGTCTCCTGTGTCTTTCACCCTCAGTTGCCAATATTGGCATCATCTGTGGTTAGCCTGTATTTCCTGGAACTCACAGATGTCTTCAAACCTGTGCACTCTGGATTCAGCTGCTATGACCGGAGTCTTAGCATGCCGTACATTGAGCCAACCCAGGAGGCCATCCCATTCCTCATGTTGCTTAGCTTGGCTTTTGCTGGACCTGCAATTACGGTAAGAATTGACCCCCCCCAATTTTATTGTTCAGTCCCAGAAAACAAAAGATGACCCAGTTTGTGTATCTAGCAAGCAAGTGTTCTAGATATACAGACAGACAGACAGACAGACAGGCAGGCAGGCAGGCAGGCAGGCAGGCAGGCAGGCAGACAGACAGATGAACTCTAACCCTTGGACTAGGATGATCTTGTCTTTGAGATATATTGTGTATATTGATATTATCATGTGGTTGATTGTTTAAAACTGTTGGCATTTAAAGTTTTTAAAAAATTACACAATTTCCAAAATGATCTGTTTACTTTTATACACCATTATGAGAAAAAGTTTTCTAATTAGACAATTATTCTTAATGGATACTTTATATTGCTGTTATAATTTTAATTGATGTAGGTTTCATTGCTTGTTTACTATTTGAATTCCAGAAAGTTGAAAATAAACATTTATATACACAACAGATTCTGTCCTCAAAAAGGATTTTAATAACATTTATAGATTCAGTTTCACTAAATTAACACTTTATGCTGAATATAAGCATACCAACTGTAAAGAGCTCAAAACTCACCTTCTGGTCATGCATGAATGCTTACTACAAACACATACACACATACACACAAACACACACACACATACATACACACACACGTGCATGGCTGCACATGGCAGGCAGGCAGGTAGGTAGGCAGGCAGGCAGACAGAGTGAGAAATTTGCATTTTAAAAACATGTACATAAAGAAATGCCCCAATCTACCAGAAGTGAATTAAAGCGTAGTTGTTTTTAGTTTTAAACTTTGCTATAAAAATGTTGCAAAAGAAAATCACATGCTAAAATTATCCACACCAAAGACTATACAGCTCAGTGAGTTTCTTTTGTTTTTTGTTGCTATTGTTTGTTTGTTTTCATAGTCCAATGTGAAATAATGTACCAAATGCACACTTGCTACATACGTGCAGGTATACTCTGGTTTCTCTTCAGTTTGTATAAATCTTTCGCCTTCTACTTATGTATGTGCAGGTGTTACTAACTAGACTCTTCATGTGAGGGAAAACATGTGGTTTTACTTTCTCAGAATGAGGGACTTTGCTTAATGTCGCACATCCTAAGTACATTTATTTACCTACAAACTTTGTGAATGTATGTTTCTTTAGAGCTGAATAGTATTCCATTTTATATACATATAAATTTTCAATATCGATTCATCTATTGATGGACAACTTAGCTGATTCTGATTTATCACTATAGTAAATGTAAAAGCAATAAACTTGAGGTTCAAATATCTCTAGGGTAGGATATGGACTTCTGTAGATATATGCCCAGAAATAAATATTGAAGTCATATGGTAGTTCTACTTTTTATGTGAGAAATCTCCAAATGATTTCCACAATGGCTGTATTACTTTTTTGCCTCCACCAACAGCAAATAAGGCTTCCCTTCTCTCCACATCCTCTCCAACATTTCTTGTCAAATTTATTAATGACAGTCACTCTGATTAAGGAAGGGTAATATCTTAAGGTAATTTTAATTTTCATATTTCTGATAGCTAGGAATACTGAACACTTTTAAAATAGTTATTAACCATTTTGTTTCTCTTTGAAAGTAACCTAATCAGTTCATTTATCTATTTGTTCATTGACTATGGTTAGCTAGATATGCTAGTCCTCTATGGTTAGCTGGTGGCCGCTCCATTCTCTGTATTGTAATCCAGGCAAACCTCGCCATGCCCCTCACCCACCTGTGTATGGCAGGTGTATTTACCCTGGATCTTTGAAAGAAAGGCTCCACCCACTTCTGTTCTCTTTCCTGCTTTCCTGCTGTTCCCCTGGGGCAGACAGGACGTTTCCTGTCTCCTTCTCTTCTGTCCTTTCTCTATCTCTGTGTCTCTGTGCCTCTTTACCACTTTTCTTTTTCCTTCCCCCTTTCTCCCCTTTCTAATAAAACTTCTCACTAAGCTCTGTCTTCCTGGAATGTTTATCCCCCACCATGGTCACCCATACCTGTCATGGAATCCAACAAGGTCCCCCATTTTATCATAACACTCTGACATAAGACAGGCTTTATTTATACAAGCAAGATATCACCGTAATTGGCAGTTTTATTTCCTTGGTATTTCATTTCTAAACAATTGTTTTAATGTGTTACTACACATTACAAGTAGCTTATTTTAAGTAAACCATTAATAAATAAGGGGAGCAAACTCTGCTGCCTTTTGTTCTGCCCCCACACTACTAGCCTAAAGGTCAAGAAACAATGTTCCCAGGGTGGCGTTGTTTACTTATTCCAGAAGGAGCCTGTGCTAATCTCTAGGTCCTTCATTATACTCATGAATGTTGAACAAGTGTCATTAAATGAAAAGGCACACTTAAATGGATATTGTATAAGACTTTCTGATGCATTGACATTTTTAGTTTTGGTATATCAACAATTTTTAAAAGTCTTCTGTGTAGACTTTCTAAACTCTTCACTTTAAAGTAACCATGACTCTGTATTCAAAGTACCACTCCTATAGTAAATAATAATACGTTATTTAAACCATAAATACATTTAATAAACTATTTGAATAAAATAATTGAAGCCTGATTTATTCCCTTTGTAAATTAATCATATTTGAGCTCCAGTGAATTCAGTATTCAATTAGACATATTTATGATGCACTTGGAAACACAGAAAACTCTTTATTATATTTCCTCAAATAGTAACAGATTCCTGTCATTTTGCTTAGTCATTTGGTGATAGCAGAAAAAGTATGTTTGCTTTAAACCTATCATGTCAGAAAGCATTTTTTTAGCCAAAGTATAGTACATGGATTTAATTGATATGTCTGTAAAAAATGCATAAAGTACTGCATGGCTATGTATGACTCTACCAAAAAGACTGTTTATGTGCAAGCATTTGAATAACTCACATTTTATAGTTGCAAAAGTGTTTATTCACTAATCTATGAGTGAATAAAGTGAGCAAATAAACACTGAGTCACTTGCAAAATGTCTAATTGCGATGCATCCTATCAGGAGCATATATCACACGATGCTTCTTCTCCTGACATTTTTCATGTGTTGGGAGCAGCGAACTTGCCCTCATCGTAGCTTTCTTGTTTTGTTTTGTTTTTCAAGACAGACTTTCTCTGTGGCTTTGGAGGCTGTCCTCCTAGCTTTTGTAGACCAGACTGGTCTCGAACTCACAGAGATCCTCCTACCTTTGCCTCCTGAGTGCTGGGATTAAAGGCATGCACCACCACCCGGTTCATCATAGCATTCTTATTTCTTTTGAATCCCATCACAAAGTCTCAATATACAAGTTAGGGATGCTTCCTAGGACATTGGAGCTTGAAGACCTGATAAATCAGTGTAAACATACCACCTCTTCCTCCCACAGAGCAGACGTGAGGAACCCAGGTCCACCTCCTTCTATTGGGGCATTTCTGTAGGGCCTCCATCCTGCCATATGCCTCTTAATGTAAAGAGAAGCAAATCAGGAACTATTTGTGTTTGGGGATGAACCACCATCTCTTGGAGACTTCAGAGACTTCAGTGACTTTTTTCCTTCCACAGCAGTTTCATAGTAAACAACTCAGTGTTGAGATGAACTGTGTAATTGTGGATAAATGACAGTATCGGACACCTCTCTCTCCAAATATATAGAAATCTTCTGGATTTGTTGTGATTTCATTGTTCTTTCTAATTTTCAGGCCTTTCCCCTAAATAAGAACTCTTCTCAGCATTGATTCTGTGGCATGCAGAGTCATTGTAACCTTACTACAAAAATTACTTCCATAGCTCCTACATCCTTTCCATTTCCTAGTGAAAATTAACAGACTCTCATCTTTGACCATTAAAGATACTGGTTTTCTTCTCATCTTTTTAGATGAATAAACTTATTATAAAATTTGGATCTTCTGGGGAAGAAAGGAAGCTCTAACGTCTTTGGCCTAGGTTTTTAGAGCACCCTGGTGTGAGGGAAGGGTTAACTACACAGAATAGAGAGCCCGGGGCATCTCCAGGTCTCCTTTGAAGTAATACTGTCTGAAAACATTAGTCAAAGAGCATAAATAATTCATTCATCATTGAATTGTGAGAAAATTCCCCTCTATCATTTCTGTACGGATTGACTGTAAAAGAGTTATCAATGTGATATTTGTTTGCCTTATCTTCAGAGTTCATTGAAGAATATTATATCAAAAATTTGTGTACAAATTGACTCATTACAATTATACTCACACCACATCACATGTACAGATAAATATAGCTAAGAGAGTTATAATTTTGAGCATTTTACAAAGCAAATAAAAGGTTTTAATGAGATGTTAGAAGCTCACCCAGAAACATCTAATGTTAACCATTGTTCAATCCTAAGTGCATTCATAATCATTGCAGTGACATGATCTACTGTGTCTGAGGAAGTATTAATCTCTTGAAACTCTACTTTCCTCAACTCCACACATTTATGAAACTACTACCTAATATGACAGAAACTTATTAGGGATAATACTCTCAAGCACTTGAAATATTTTTGATAAATAAAATCATAAATTCAAATCTTGCCTGTATTATACAGAATAAGTAGCACCTCAGATTTTTTGGGTAGTTAGCAAAGTAAAACTCATCAACACAAATTCCATGTAAAAATGAGAATAACTAAGGAGTGGCTCTTCTCTTGGGGGTTCCTAATCTAAGGAGAGACTATAAAGTGAATGTGTAGTATGCAATTCAAAAAGCTACTCAAAGGATAAGACAAATAGTATAGAGGGTGATGAAATTGATGTTTGGGTATGGTAAGAAAATTAAAGAGGAAAAAAGTTCTTGAATGAAAGGACATCTAAATAATATGGAATTCCTTTACTAATATTGTAGTTCTTAAAGTCCCACAGCAAAATCCACTGTTTATATCTTAAAATAGTCCTGTACTACAGTGTGGTTTTTTTATCTACTGTAAGCAGGCACTCTGAAAGATTATCCCTCAGAAAGCCTACCTACTTTTCTAGATTCTCCTGTCATCTGCATTCTCCAATAGATATCCATCCAACATGTGGTTTTTTTAAGTCTAAATTAATTGAGTTAAAAATTTTAATATAGCACAATTAGCATTAAATATTCAATCTATTTGTAGTGCCTACATTTTTGAGTACTTAGCAGCTACATGTGGATGGTCATTGCCATATTAACCAATAGAAGACATCGTTCCATCCCTACAGAAGTATCTGTGGAATGGCTACACTCAATAGTAGACATGCTTTCCACATATTTCTCCTTCTGCTAAATTAACAATTGTTTTGTTGAGCAAATATGTTTGTCAAATGTCTCTGATCCTAATGCTATACTTACTTGATTCTTCTAAAGTATCTTGGGATTAATGTCAAGATTCTCAAAGTTAGAACAGAATCAGCCATAGTGTGGTTGATTGAATCACTGGGTGTGATGCTCAAAATGCCGAGGACTGATTGTTGTAATCAAATTGAAATTCTGAGATATTTTCACACCGTTGACCAATGCACAGGAGTAGACAAGATACAGCCAGACCTCTTCACAGTTCTACAATTGCTTATTTGTCACTGCTTATTAAATCTGCAGAATAAATTGCTTACATTTCTGAAGTGCTGAGGAAAATGTATCTTCTCTGTGTTGAATTGGCAATGTGTGAAGGGATGGCGCATAGTTTATACTTGTTAGTGTGTAGGTATAGTTACACTCTTGCTGACACCATGTGACCTTTGCAGATCATGGTGGGAGAAGGGATTCTATACTGCTGCCTTTCCAAAAGAAGAAATGGAGCTGGACTGGAACCCAACATCAATGCTGGGGGCTGCAACTTCAACTCCTTTCTCAGAAGAGCCGTCAGATTCGTTGGTGGGTGTAAGGAGCCAAAAAGAAAGGAAATGCTTTTCTTCACAGAAATACAATGTCTAATTACAGATATTAAACCCTTAAAACTGTAATTTAGATGTATGTTCAGTGTGTGATGAATTTTAAGTTATACAGGAAACCGTTTTAAAAAAAGAATTTAGGCTATCTATTGAAAATGTGTTATTTAGAGTCAATGTTTCGTGAGCTAGCACACCACATATTTCAGGGAATTTTGCAAAACTCCGATTGAAGCATAAATTTAGTTTAAAGTAATTTCACAAAGTGTATGTTTTAGGTTTTTGTTTTTTCCTGGTGGAGAAGGTAAAAGTAAGGGCAAGTTCCATGTAGTCCTGGCTGGCCTCAAACTAACTATATTGCTGAGGCTGGCCTTGAATTACCAAGCCTCCTGCCTCTACTTCCAAAGTGCTAGGATTATAGGTGTGTGGCACCATGCCCCATTATGTTTTGTTAGGTTGTTTGTTTGTTTTTAATGGAATAATAGGTCATTATTAATTGACAATGATTCATAGATTAATTTATTCACATAAGTGATTCTGTTTCTTAGTGGGTTCATCCAGAAGTCACTGTACATGGAAATGTCACCCTAGACCGCTGCATCATGGCTATTATTTCTTGGTTAGACTATCTTATCTCCAACACACACCTTACATTTTTTAATGAATCTATAAGAAAAATACAGGTCTGACTAAGCAAATATCTGAATCATACTAATTACTAAATCAAATTAGCATGGGACTATCTTAATGTAGTTTGAGTCACAGACACATTATTTTTTTCACTGATTTAAATGATCATCTACAGTACCAGACAACAACCTGAGTGTTTTGTATTCATCTCAGTAAGTCAATATAATGTTGTTTATGCATACAGCATGTTAGCATAAAGGAATTGGTAGCTTCTTATAGTATCCTATAAATAATCACATGAAATTTTCTCTCCCATGACTGGCTCTGAATCATCCTCTTTGGATCATGCTCTTTGAAGATATCTTCTTTTTGTTGTTTTGCTTTGCTTTGTTTTTCAAGACAGGGTTTCTCTGTGTAGCTTTGGAGCCTGTTCTGGAACTCGCTCTGTAGCCCAGGATGCCCTGCCTCTGCTCCCCACGCCCAGTGCTGGGATTAAAGGCGTGTGCCACCACCACCCAGCTGAAGATATCTTCTTGACATTATATTGACATGGTAATAAGACAGTAGCCCCCTTCACAACATTTGAGGTAAAGAAAAAGAACCCCAAGACCTAAAGCTGTACTCAGAAAAATGTTGCCATATTAGAATAGAATGTTAGGGACAAAGAACTGTGAGCTCTGAAATACTGTCAACAAACACGGTCATCCTCCAATCCTCTCTGGGCCTACAGAGTATCATTTTCATTTTCCAAAGGTAAAATAAGTTGACTCCCTTCTTATTCAGTCTTTACCTTGACCACACAAATCTCAGATCACACTGCCTGCTCTTTGTGTCCAACACACAGTGATCTGTGCTACATCATGTAAAGAATGAATCCTAGGGGAGATGGGGAAGTGGTTCAATAGAGTGTTTGCTGCTCTTCCAAAGGACTGGAGTTTGACTCCCAGACAGAACCCACCTTAGGCAGTTTACAACTGACTGAAACTCCAGTTCTGAGGGATCTGACACCTTCCCTCTGTTCTCTATGATATTCACACACTAATGTGCATACTTATACACCTACATGTAAATAATAGACCCTGCGCATGCATATAGGAACTGGAATGCAGAGAAGCCTTCCTTGTCATGAATCCCTACTGTAACTGGAAAAGGAACTGAGGCTGTATAGATTAGAAGACAACCACTAGAGAAGAAAAATGCAAATCAGTCTTGGACTGGAGGTGGTGAAGGGGTGCCTCTCAGAACAATTTCTGTGGGTATCTCATGAATCAAAATGCAAGCATGGAGTCAGAATGAATGCAGGGAGTCAAGACAGCTTGGGAAGACTAGGCAAGTTCTAGATCACCTATATCTTAGAAGGATTTACTCACAAGACGAGCCAATCAAGTGTCTTCAAACAAGCATAGAACTTGAGGATTCAAAATTTAAGATTGGCCCCAGAATATAAAATTGAAAGTTTGGCAGGAGATATAAGAACACCATCACCAAATAAGGCAGCTCCCACAGCTACCCAGGCTGTAACTGCTGTTTGGTTATTATGGAAAAGTCTGCCTTCCCCCTTCTTTGTTACATTAACATTTTTATCAGTGCTATGCTTTATGGAAAACTGAGAATGAATTCTGTAGAGTTTAGTAACTGAGCCTATAATTATAGACCAAAGTGACAAAAGAGTACTAACAACTCAGAAATGCTCAGAACTTTAAATTATTATTTTTAAATTTTTTTGTGTACATTCTACTACAAATTTAAGTAACTTTTATTAAATTTGTTCTTTGATGATTTTACACATTCATTTAATACATACTGACTACTGTCACCCCCTGATTCGTTTTCATCTCCTTTCCATCCCTGTCAACTCCTCCTCTTCTCTAAAAGCTGTTTCCCACAATACTGAACTATTTAGCTACTGATGGATTAGAGGGAGTGCATTCATTGTCTTACTTGCAAGTCCACCAGATTCCAATGAACAGATTCAAATCCATGATCATACAGATAGCCCTGAGTAAATTCAGATGATCACAAAACAAAAAATATATTAAACATATATTTAAGATAAAACATTTTTTAATTCTATCACATTTCTCATATTCTGTCCCTCTCTAATTATTCATCAACTTTCCCCTGATATATGGCAAGTGACCTATGGTAAATAATGTAAAGAATTGACTTTAAACACTGAAGATATGGCTTATAAGTTAAGAATACACACTGCTCTTGTAGAGAACCCAAGTTCAGTTTCTAGCATCCACATCTGACCACTCACAACTGCCTGCAACTTCAGCTCTGTAACTCCAACACTCTCTTCTGTACTCTGCAGGCACCTGTACTAACAGATTGAATCCCTACACACAAAAGCATTTAATTAAAAATAAATATGTATATATATAAACGATTTATCCTAATTAACAAGAGTGACTACAGTATATTACTAATCAGGAAATTCTCATTGTACTGTTTTGCCCATAAATAACAACTTAGATGTTTAGAAAATTTCTATATTATCTCTCAAATGCTCTTAGAGAAAATGACAGCACATTATAAGATGAAAATATTAGTGTGCAATAAACATGGTAAACACTACTATACACTCAACTTTAGCCATCAACTATGTAACAGTGTTTTCCATTTTGCTTCTAGGTGTCCATGTGTTTGGACTGTGCTCCACAGCTCTCATTACAGATATCATACAACTGTCCACAGGATATCAGGCACCATACTTTCTGACTGTGTGCAAGCCAAACTACACCTCTCTGAATGTATCCTGCAAAGAAAATTCCTACATCGTGGAAGATATTTGTTCAGGATCTGACCTTACAGTTATCAACAGTGGCAGGTTGAAAACAGAACTCTATAACTATTACATGTCAATACTGTATTCTGCTGTCACTGCACCATACAAACATGCCATTTTCAGTCACAGGCATTTATATATTTTACTCATATTTTCAATGCAACAATCAATTCAGTGACTATAACACAGAGATCTGGTAGAGACTTGTTCAAAATTCTTCTCTTGAAGTCTCCAAATTTCAGTTTCACATTCTTAATACAAGCCTCCTTTTACTGAACTCATTTTTTGTATTCTGTCACAATTGGGCTAAAATACTAATGATCCATATATTATAGCAGACAGACAATATGTATATTGAACTCATTTAAGTCAAATACAATAGCCTGTGTTATATCTCTTCGTTTATTTTAAAATTATGTAAATTTTGCTCTTGCTCAAGTCTGCAAAGGTGTGACATCTGTTGTAGTTGCATCTCTTTTCTTTGAATGAACACAGAAATGTTAAACAGCTCCTGACTTTACATTTCAGACAGTTAAGGACATGAAAACACAAGAAACTATGAATATATGAAAGTTTTTCAATCAACAAAGTAAAATAAACATAAGACAAGAGAAAGTTTCTGAGATGCTCAAAAAATAAGTAGAGAGATACAAAACACTAAACAATTATTATGAAAATTGGATTTGTTATAGATGACTTCTCAACAAAGCAAATTCCCATGGACCATTCAGTAATTTTGAATCTATGTTGAAGAATCATGCCCTGTATTCTTTCTCAATACTTCCACATTTTCTTGCCTGTGTTGAATAGAAAGTGTCAAATAATTTGAAAAGCAATAGTATAACTGACTCTTTTTCCTTGATTTTATTTCATTGAAAGAAATTTCTAATCCTTTTGCTGTGTGCCTTTTTCTGACCAATGTTCCAAAAGAACTTTCTTCCCTAAGTTGTTTAACTTAAGAAAATTCTGTGTTGTTTTAGAAGGGACAGTCACATTTAAGTGGGCTAAGCAGAGAAGCAGTTTGTTCAAATAGGGCTTTTCTATACAGTTTAGAGTTTAAAAATACATTAAGACGTACTGGTATGGGAAAATAATTTCATTACTTAATGTAATGAAACTATTTTGGGAGCATAAAAAATTATCAAAGCCCTACATTTTATGAACTTTAACAAGGAATTTATATAATTGTAACCAAAACATAATTATTTTCTAACTCATTTCAGACATCATCTCACATGTCCCTTTGCCAACCTCCTACTTATTTTCTACTTCCTTTCATTTTAATTTTTACTAAAAAGTACATCTTTAATGCTCATGTCAACCAGCAATGCTCCTGAGGGTAGTAAATCACTCTGGCTTTCTCCATAAACTAAATATTAATTAAGGGTATGGCTTCTTTGTGGCTTTAAATTGAACATCTTACCCAGCCCTCTTCAGATGATGGCTGGCAGCTCATTTAAACTAAAGTGCATAATTTGGCTGTCTTCCTTTGGCAGAAAGTCATTCCCGTCCCAACACGCGACCCTTGCTGCCTTTGCTGCTGTATATGTGTCGGTAAGTAATGGTCTCCTTGTTAAGTTGTGACCTGTAGAAAAGCCAAAGAATGAGTGTTTTCCCCAGAGTGACTAAAATTAGATTATAACTTAGTACTGCTTCCCTTTAATACAATAGCATCTAAAGCAATTATCAGATGCTACTTTAAAAAAAAAAGTAGAATTAAAGAATTTTTCTAGTGCTTAACCATAGACCATTTCCATGCAATACTTTGTGGGAAGATATTTATGAAACTCATGAATGTGACAAAAAAACAAAACCAAAGGGCTTTTATTAAGTCAGTGTACAAAAACACAGGCAGGAGCACAGAATTCAGTAATTATGTAACTGCAGTGAGTTTTAGGTCACTGTCAATTTGATAAGTGTTACACAATGAAGAGTCATTGTGTTTGATTGACAACACGGCCTGAGTAGTTTTTGTGAGACAAATACACTGAAATTGTGTGGTATATAGGAGGGATATTGGGATTCTCTGGTTAAATCTATTGCTTCAGTGTTTTTCAAACTTTTCTGCAATTAAATGAATGTTTGCATGCATTTCCCTCCTTGGCAGGTTGAGAACTTAGCCATGGCAAGGGGATAGGTGAAAGTATGTTAAGTGTATCAACCAGCCTTTTGAGTTGAGCTTTTAACTTGCTTAGACTTTTTTAACACAATGGCCCTTCTAGCATACTTAACTCACATCTTTCATTTTAAAGATGTACTTCAATTCCACGTTAACTGATTCCTCTAAGCTACTGAAACCACTCTTGGTCTTCACATTTATCATCTGCGGAATCATCTGCGGGCTAACACGGATAACTCAGTATAAGAACCACCCAGTTGACGTCTATTGTGGCTTTTTAATAGGAGGAGGAATCGCCCTGTATTTGGTAAATAACATTATTAATACTTGGTGAAGTGCAATTTACTGTGAAAGAGCATGCATAGAATATCTTGTGTAATAATTAGTTACTCTTGATGTATTTTAAATTCATGAGAAAATCTTGCATTTTCATTCTAATCCAAATTATACTTTACTTCCAATAAAATGATTAATGAGTTCTTCTTATGAGCCAAAATTAATTATTAATTGCTATATTTCATACTTAAAGCACACAGAAAGAAATACCATGTATAATGAAATTTAATACATAAGGCAAGTGGATATAAGTAAAAGGAGGAATAGTGGAGGCTTAGTGAAAGTTACTATAATTTTCCCAACAACACAAGTGTAGCACCTTCCTGAATGTAACTATGTTCCAACTAACAGTGAATTTTTTACCATTTTTTAAACTCTCAATCAAGTTAAATATCTTCAAGATGAGTATCTGCATTATGAGGAAACTCATAGAGCCTATTGAACTCCGTCATGTATCCACCCTTTCATTCATGTTATGTATTCATTATCTACTCATTGTTATCCACTATGAAGCAAAGGAAAGACAGATGCATCCTACAGACACTTGTAGTATAAAGACAAACGCCAGCATAAATGATCACAACATGCTTAGTAGTGGAATGTGGTTCCTTGAGAATAGAAAACTGCCAAAGGAACATCAGGAGGCCTTTCTAGAAATGATATGGTTTAAAAAATATATTAAGGTAAAGGAAGTAGAAAGCTCATTCAAGGGGAAGAGATTATCATACAAAAAGATAGACATGTGGAATATCAATTGGACAGAAAGGGAAGTGTTGGAATGAAAATATTGACCAAATGTATAACTTGGAAAACTGGACTTATAGTGACCACATTAGTAGACCAGGTAAACAATCAAGCTAACAGATTGCTGGATAGAAAGGCGTATGAGGAGTTCCTGATGAATTAATGAGCATTTGAGTAGTTGTGTCTGAAGGAAAGAGGAGACATGAGTACTTTGGAAGCCAGGGGCATTACTTATAGAAGTATAATAGTAGTTATTTTAGGTGAGAGGGAGTGGGAGAGGGAGGGGAAGGAGGAGGCGAGGGGGAGAGGGAGAAAGATTTGATTTTATTCCAATTGCACCTTGTGCCCTGAAATTAGAACATTGACATTCCTGAGCATATGCTGTTCCTCAGTGTCAAGCATTCTATAAAAGACTAAAACCATGAAATTGCATTACTTAAAAAGTAGAGCCAGCCGCCCTCAGTTGAAATTAGCTCACAGGCAGACACCTGCTTTATGATCTCTGGAAATCCAGCAGGCATTTGATCTGTAACCAGAGTAACAAATATGAAACTGAAATTCAACCTTTTCAAAATCTAAACCAAATAAAAATTGACGGACAAAGTATAAAGACAAAGTTAAATAAAATTTGCCCCACATTTGGTACAAAAACACTAATTTAATCCAACTTTCCCACTTGAAGGTCAAGTTTAAAGCACACAGGCAAGGCTGAAGGCAGTGTGACTTGCCTGTATGTCTCTGCCCTCATTTTCAAACCCCACACAGTGTTTTTATGAATGATCCATTGTCCTATATTTCCTGCAGCTCATCTGCTTGCCATCTGAAGGTATGATTGAAAATGAAAGGGAGCATAAATCATTCAAGCCTCTTGGGCTGTCACTCAAAAAGAAGCTACTAGTTTAAAAAAATGAATAGCTTTGGAGGGCAGAAAAAAATGTCCTTGTTTCTCTCATTGCCTCTCTTTTCTTTTCAAAACACACAGAGAGTGTGACAACAACACCTGGTGGGACTGAAACGAACCAAACTTATCTAAGCAAGTAGTTGAGTGATCTAGATAGTTACAAGCTACCCCCTTAGTAATTGCACTTTCTTCACTGTTTTATTGGTTGTGGCTTATGCACAGTACCTACCTCAGTTGTGTGCCCTCTCGGGCATTCTAAGGGAATCATGATTAATGATGTCTTATAATGTGTGATGTTTGTTGTTTTTTTGCCTTGAACACCAGGGCCTATATGCTGTGGGGAATTTTCTGCCTAGTGAAGACAGTATGCTCCAGCAGAGAGATGCCCTCAGGTCACTGACAGACCTCAATCAAGACCCCAGCAGGGTTTTATCAGCTAAAAATGGTAGCAGCAGTGATGGAATTGCTCACACAGAGGGTATCCTCAACCGAAATCACAGGGATGCAAGCTCCTTAACAAATCTCAAGAGGGCCAACGCTGACGTAGAAATCATCACTCCTCGGAGCCCCATGGGGAAGGAGAGCATGGTGACCTTCAGCAACACTCTGCCCAGAGCCAACACACCCTCTGTGGAAGACCCTGTGAGAAGAAACGCGAGCATCCACGCCTCCATGGACTCTGCCCGGTCCAAGCAGCTCCTCACCCAGTGGAAGAGCAAGAACGAGAGTCGCAAGATGTCCCTGCAGGTCATGGACACTGAGCCCGAAGGTCAGTCTCCACCCAGGTCGATAGAAATGAGGTCCAGCTCAGAACCTTCGAGGGTGGGAGTGAATGGAGACCACCATGTGCCAGGCAATCAGTACCTCAAGATCCAGCCTGGCACTGTCCCCAGCTGCAACAACAGCATGCCGGGAGGGCCACGTGTGTCCATTCAGTCCCGACCTGGCTCCTCCCAACTGGTGCACATCCCCGAGGAGACCCAGGAAAACATAAGCACCTCGCCCAAGAGCAGCTCTGCAAGGGCCAAGTGGCTGAAAGCTGCAGAGAAGACGGTGGCCTGTAACCGGAGCAACAGCCAGCCACGCATCATGCAGGTCATCGCCATGTCCAAACAACAGGGTGTGCTGCAGAGCAGCCCCAAGAATGCCGAGGGTAGCACCGTCACCTGCACAGGCTCCATCCGCTACAAAACCCTGACGGACCACGAGCCGGGTGGCATCGTGCGGGTGGAGGCCCACCCCGAGAACAACAGGCCCGTCATCCAGATCCCATCCACTGAGGGCGAAGGCAGTGGCTCCTGGAAGTGGAAAGCTCCAGAGAAGGGTAGCCTGCGCCAAACCTATGAGCTTAACGATCTCAACAGGGACTCGGAAAGCTGCGAGTCCCTCAAAGACAGCTTTGGTTCCGGAGATCGCAAGAGAAGCAACATCGATAGCAACGAGCACCACCACCACGGCATCACCACCATTCGAGTGACCCCAGTGGAGGGCAGCGAGATAGGCTCAGAGACGTTGTCTGTGTCCTCCTCACGCGACTCCACCCTGCGCAGGAAGGGCAACATTATCTTGATCCCCGAAAGAAGCAACAGCCCTGAAAACACGAGAAACATCTTCTACAAAGGAACCTCCCCGACGCGGGCTTACAAGGATTGAGCCCTTCCGCCATCATACGGTGACCACCACCACCCTCAAGACCACACGTTAATTCTACCTGTGCTTTTTTTTTTTTTTTTTTTTTTTTTGGTTTTTGGTTTGGTTTTGTTGTTTCAGGAGGATTTGGAAAGCCTTCTTGCCCAACCTGACTGTTCACCATCAGCCCGGAACTCTCACTGAACTACCACAGAAATTGTGGCAATTTTTCACCAAGGGAAAAGCACAAAGCAAGACCCGGATTAGTTTCATCACCCGAAAGTTCTTAAAACCTGTCACTGAGGCTTCACAGAGGGCAGTATTAAGGCAAAGCGGTTTGGTTTCGAACCAAATTCTTTCGATGTATAGTATTTAACTTTCTGAATGTGCCAACATTGAGATTTTTTTCATTAAATTAGCTGTGGGAGCCCAAAACATCAGGCTTTCCCTACAGAAGAGGCCATGCAGTATTATATATTATTCATTGTTGCTGAATCTGCACCAGAAGCGCAGTCTGGGAGGTGCTGATTATTGCAGTGCATATACCTTGTAGACTCTCAAACTCTACTTAGCTGTGAAATAGTGGTGTGCAACCCCTCGTCAGAGAAATGCTCCTCTTATTCAGAAGATGTGGTAGAATAGGCCATCCTCGGCTTCCCTGTAGTGGCTCTGTCATATTGAAAAATGTTTTGAAAAAGGTTCTGAGCATTTCTTTGAAAAAATGCATTTTTTAAAAACATCTGAAACTCTGTAGGAATGTTTTCAGTGAAAGGAAATAACTAGTTATCTGCACCATTTTTCTGCTTTTTCTTTAAGTATTGGTAATACTTATTTCTGGTATTTTTAGTGAGTACATTTGCATACTTAAAACATTGTTTTAGAGAATATTTTGAAATTACTGTGATTATATTTTCCATTTTATGGCTATTCCTTAGTTTATTAAGTGTTTTGAGGTTATACATATATTCTTCTATTTAAAAAAATAAAAATGGCTATTTACATTCCTTGTGCAAACTACACTGCTGCGAAATTATAAACAAGAAATCTGAGCCAAAAGTCGAGATTGTGGGTTCCATTGCCAGACATATAGGTCAGGTTCAAGATGTCGCCAACCTGACGGCATAGGTTATGATGTCAGTGAGTAATCAGAAAATTTCATTTTATTCCAGGGAATTTCATTTTTACGTTATCTTCATAGTAAATTGAAACCGCAGTGGGGTGAGCTTGACTCTCTTCCCTGACGTATTTAGAATGAGACACTAAGAGTAAAAATCTAGGCAAATGCAATTGATAAATAAAAGTGTGTCACAGTGTAAATTCAAAATGCGTAGGCACAGCTTTTGATCTTAGACTGCAATCAGAAGTTTTGGCTGCCTGTCTTGAATTAAAAGCCTTGAGCCTAAATTAAAGAAAACCATATGATTGTTAGCAAGAAGAATATCAACAAAATATTGTGAAGTATTTTTCCAAGTTAGATATTTAAAGTGTGGAGAGATATTTGGTTCTTTGAATCTGGTATTAAACATTTCTATGCCATATCTTAGGGATTACAATGTACACTTGATGATTGCCAAGAGGGGGATAAAATAGAAACAGCAGAGCTGGTCGATCTGAACTCAGTGCAGTTTTCAATGAGAACAACAGCTGTCCAGCAAGGACTCATTCATCCCATCATCAGTTTCCACATGCAAAGGGCAGAGCTTTATAAAGAACTCAACCTCCTAAGGCATTAGGAATTTAGATGAAACCAGCAGAATTGAAAACCCTGGCAATAAAATACAGACTCAACAATAACCCTTCTGGCAGTTCCCTTCTCAGACAAGGAAGAGGGAGTAAAATGTTGCCTTCCCCACTTCTTACATCACCACCATCACCGTGTCCCCCCGGCTGGCCTGGCCAGTTCCCAGAGGGAAGGGTGGAATGGTTTTAGTACTCTGAAGAAAAACCAAGCTGCAGTATTTGAGGTGCAGTATGATATTTCCTAATCTTTCCTATTTCTTAACAAAAAGATTTTAAAGTACTTCTCTAGTCATTGGATTTTTGTTCTTTACATACTATTGATATATTCTTTTTCTACTCAAAGTGCCAAAGGCTACAGTTTTTAATGACTTAACAAATTGTACCACATTGTTAAGTAAATATGATAGACACTAGAATTCAGACCTCTGCATGTATATTTGATAACGCATCTTTTGTAAAAAATAAATAATTACAAAAAGTTTGTTTACATTCCACAGGTACCTTAATTTAAAACAAATCAGACTAGCAGGTGTTATCTCTCCTTAGTGTTCTATTTATCTTATTTGCTAATGAGAGCACTTCTTCTTTTGTTAGGCTGTGCTTTATTGATAAAATCAAGTATTGAATAAAGAGAGTTAATTATCTTTTTAAAGTATATAAAATTATGAATATATAATATATATGAAGTATTGTGTTTAATAAAATGTTATGCAATGTTTTCCAAACTGATAAAGTTTGTAAAGTGCTATAAATGTATTTTGTTAAGTACAGATCAAAGCTATCGTGTGAGTATATTGTGCTAACATCATAGAAATAAAGATTAGATTTCTTCATCAAAACTGGAATATTTGGGTTTTTATTTTGGATAAAATATAAATTAGTAATAACTAGAAAAGAGCTAAGGAAAATATAAATATGAGTTGGTAATCTCATATAGTTGATGATCAGAAAGAGTATTGTTAAAGAAAGGAAAGTTTGTGAAACAACGTGTTTATTTGTTGGGAAATTTTATTTCAGGAGCCTAGAGAGATTGTGCAGTGGTTAACACGCTTCCTTCATTTCCAGAGACCCTGAATTTACTTGTCAGCACCCTCAATGATTGGCTCACAACTGCCTATAAACTACACTCCCTTTTCCAGCTTCTTTAAGTACCTACACACATATGACACACACATATATACATACAGTTAAATAAAAATAGATCTTTTTTTAAAAGAATTTTTGTGTCATGCTTATTATGGGAGGTCTCTTGCATTTAGACACACTTTTCCACTCTTTAATACTATAATATTATATGCAGAAAAATGGATATATAAGACAGTCAAGTGGTCTTGATGTCCAAAAGTAGTCAAGGCAGCCTTCTCAATTATTGCCTTTCACACTATTGTAGGCAGAACCGTTGCAGCCTTTCTTAACAATTGACTATGTTTTCTTTCAAGCCATAAATTCCCACTTGCTGACTTTTACTCATCTGTATTGCATCAGAAATAGTTAATACAAGGTTTTAGACTACAACCAAGATTTATACTTTAATCCAATGACTTTAAGTACTATTCCTTAGGAATAAAACTGACTATTTTCTAGAAATGTCACTATGTTTTGTAACTGTTGAGTAGAAATTATTTTCATGGATACCAAGGAGTGAGATCATTACAGCCATTGCAGACTACTATGAAATTATGGAAATATTCTGTTTTTACAAACAATATGCAAACCACAATGTGTGTCTCATAGTGATTTAAGTGCAGTTTTAAACTCTGTTGATTCTTGAAATTTTCATTTATAAATCAACTATACCAAGAATTTGGTCATTTCTGAAGAATATCCAACACTTTATGAGTTTCTGTGGATTATCGTACTACTTTACTCAGTAAGTAAAACTACTAATATGGAACCAGAAAATAACCTGCTCAAATGTCTAATTAATATTGCCCCCTTTGGCCACAAGTTTTGAAAAAATGAGCAAGTATCGGATGCTGAGAGCCTATGTCAACTATTTTACCACATAACATATCAAAAGAGTTAATTTATGTACTTAGGTCCCCGGAACAAGCATCATTTTATCAGGACTCAGGTGAGCAGCTTCTGAACTGTACACCTAAGACAGTTGTCACAGCTATGCCATTTCTTTCTTTTTTTTTTTTTACAAGACAGGGTTTCTCTGTTTTGGAGGCTATCGGTCCAGCCTGGCCTCGAACTCACAGAGATCCGCCTGCCTCTGCCTCCTGAATGCTGGGATCAAAGGCGTGCACCACCAACGCCCGGCCATTTCTTTCTTTTACAGGTCAGGAGCTTAATGGTGTTGTATTCCACACCCCAGAGCAAAAGAACAAAAAATGCATTTGTGATTGCAAGAATAATCTAGTTAATATGACTGAAAACAAGCAAAATGAACTGACATGTTTTAGTCTAATGGGGAAACAAACCTGCTAAACCCTGCGCTTCATTTCCTCTAAATGTTGATGGTGTGACCTACGTTTATTTGGTTAAAAGCTTTAAAAGGCTCTAGGATCAAACATTGCAGTTGGAAGACAACACAGATTCCCGTAACAGTATGTGGTTTATGGGATATAAGATAGAGTTATAGGAGCTTTTCAGTAACCATGCTATTTGCAAGGAAATATCTCAGAGAGAGCCATTAATACAGAGAGGAGCTCTTTCAGTATTCTGGAAATGTAGTTACAGGATCCTAACTGTGTATCCATGCCTCATAGGTGATGTCAAAGGCTAGAGAACTGGAGGTGCCAATCCAATTTGACAAGCTCATAGTGTGCCCATTCCATCTCATTGTATTGCCTATTTTAAGATCTTCTTGTCATTGCCATGAGAAAATCTATCAAAAATCTAAAGTTCTCTTTATAAAATGGTAAAGCAAACATTTAAACAAATGAGTCAGAAAAAATATGAATGTGTTAGAGTCATTCAAATTCACCCTTAATTTTTTTTAATCTGGATACTCCTTAGGATAGTAATGGCTACCCCTTGTTAGAAACTGAGAGGCTCTATGAGCTAGGAAGCCTGGCTTCTTCCCTATGGGTATGTTTCTATCTGCTAGATGTCTAGGTAAGGTATGCCATCTTAGAGTTTGGAGAAAACATAATTTATTCCACCTCCAGGTCAGTTTCCCCCATTGCGGGTCTAAGTTAAATAATGACAGACATTTCAAAAACTCTCTTGGAGAGCTCAAACACTTAGATATAAAATATATAACTTTGTGTTAGGAACAGGTGGAAAATATTTCAAATATAAGATTTTTGAATTCTGGTCCACAAGTATATTTTTCTAGTCTGGAGTTTGTCTTATCTTTTGAACAAGCTCTTTCCTTTGTACCCACCCCCAGGGATGCACAGCTTATTGACGTATAATTATCAAATAAAACTTTCTGTGGTTAAGGTATACTCATGGATGTCTGCTATAAAAATACATATATATTGTAAAATAGTTACCATAATTAATCTAGTGAGAAAACAATAGTCCAATGATCTTGAAGTGCAGTTTGGCCATGTCTTAGTTACTTTTTATATTATTGTGACAAAACACCACAACAAAAGCAACTTATAAGAGAATTTAATTGGAGGCTTGCTTAAAATTTTGGAGGATAAGGCCATGACCGTTGTGGTGGGGAGCATGGTAGCAGACAGGCAAACATGACCCTGCAACAGTAACTACAAACTTTGCCTGCTGAGATAACCATAAAGCTAAGAGAGAGAGAGACAGAGACAGACACAGAGACAGAGAGAACTAAATGGGAATGGTACATGCTTTTGAAACATCAAAGCCTATCCCCAGTGGCACACCCCCTCCAACAAGGCCACATCACCTAATCCTTCTCAAATAGTTCCACTAACTGCAGACCTAGAATTCAAATATGTGAGTTTACTTGGGCCATTATCATTCAAATCACCACAGACCATTTCTTTTTAAACTAAACATATTCTTACCATGTGGAGCAGAAACTATAATTTTGACCATTTACCACATAGAATTGGAAACTTGTGCTTTCACAACAAAAGTCTGGCACATAATTATTCAAAGATGCTTCATTATAAGTAGACCAAAGATATGGAAAAACCCAGATGTACTTTTATGTGTGAACAGTTAAAACGTTATACATCCATCCCTTGGAATAATACTCTGAAATTCAAAAATAAAAATGTATCTAACTTGAATGATTCTCCAGGAACTTCCGCAGAAAATAATCAGGAAGGTCCAGGGAGATGGTTTGGCCATTAAAAGCTAGGCAGACAAACCAACACAGAACTGTCACATAGTATATATTTCTATCACATGATATAAGTAATTTTGATATTAAAAAGCCCACATTCAGAGAAAGGGAGTCATAGTCATTAACATGTGACTTCAAAGATCACTCTGATTGTTGCAATTTCCCAGCAGAATGAAGTCAAAGAAAAGCCACTTTGGCTTCAAAATTACACATAATTAACATCTACCATTCGTAATCTATCCCATGGGCCTTAACTATATTACCTTACAGCAAAGGAAGGTAACAGATGTGATTTTGTCCAATAGACCTTGGCTCAACTAAAATTCTATGTCTTCTCCAAGTAGGTAAAAGATAGAAATGGTACTGAGGGTTGTTTAAATCCTTTTGACCCTTAAAATCTACATCTCAGTCTTAACTGTTAAAATCTGAGAAATTTTGACTTATGAGAACAAACACGACAATCACCCATGTTCCACATGAGAGAGAAAACAGAATATGTGGGGAAATACTTATTAATCTTCATAACTGTCATGTATCAGGGAAACACTGGGAACAGAAACATGGTCCTTTATCACTTTTTTGTCCCTGTGTGGTCATTAGATCACTCCATTAGATTGGTCCATGAATTTTGTCTTTTATTTTGATTGAATCTTTGAAAAACAATATTCAACACATTTCTTCTCAAAAGAATGTATCCATCACCTCCTTTTAAGAATGCTCGAAAATCTCTGTTGGATGTAATCAGTATATTTGCTTGATCATACAGGTTATATCATCAATCATTTTGATGAATGAGGCATTTAACTTTTATCACACACTGAACTGTAAAGTCCTTATGAACAGTTTGTACCACCACGTGTTCGATAGACAGAAGAATAATTGAATTGAACACTGTCAATACAGAAGTCATTAGTATAATTAAATGATATAATTTTATATACAGAAGAAACAGAGGGTTTGAAACAGACAGAAACAGATGTCAGAAGGTAGAGATAGTTTAATGGCTAAGAGCACTAGTTGCCCATGCACAAGATCTGAGTTCAGGGAGTATGACACCATCTTTTTGTTTCCATGAACACCCTAGCATACACACTCATACATATACGCACAGAGAGAAATTCACATGCAAGTAAATTAAGGTTAGAAAAATAAATGTCTGTCAATATGTTTTAGCACTGAAGATCCACCACTTTAAAAATTCTACCTCCAAACTTTGAAGCTGAGTTTGCACTACTTGTATTTTTCCCTTTGTCTTTTCTCGTCTGAAGCATGTTTTAAAGGCTGTTTACATAGCATAAATTAGAATTCTTGGAACAGGCTGTCTTCTTCCAGTGCTTATGATTTAACTCCAGCTGTTTGTTCAAATGTTGCCACCTCCACAGTCAGCTTCTTAGAAGTGGTGAGTAAAACTAAACAGAACCTTCTCGTCTACTGTATAAATCACCAAACCCTGAATACTTAGAAACTCTGCTGGACTCAAGAAGCCAAAATTATTCTTTGCCTCAAAATTAGGCATCCAAGTGCAGAACTTACTGGTTTCTCTATAGTCTGGTGTCTATAGTCTCTATAGTCTGGGTACACTCCACCGTCTCTGCTAGGACATCACACCAGATT